GTTGCTCCCCATCGTTTGAAGCACTGCGTGGATAAACCCGGATAAAGTTCCTGTGTTAAGGCCAGTCTAGTAATAACTCATTTTGCGGTGGGCGTTCGCTATTTAGTGCCCATAAAGGGTGGAATAGGAGAGCGTCTCCGTGTCTGCGCGCTAGTTCAGTATCGGGGACCCCCTGTCCCCCGGTATTCCTAGTCGCCTAATTAAATCTCAAGTGTTTTTTTTCCTATCGGCCCTGGGTTTCAAAGCCGCCCCTCTGCAACGGTAAGTACCATTTCCTGCAGCCTCGGCGTGCCCTCCCCCTGTCCGCTTGTGTTTCTGGGTAAGCCATTTCTCAGTGGCCAGTTTCTGTCCGGACGGGTGCGGGCGATGCTGTCCATGAAATATCATCAGAGCTGGTCGGCTTGCGGGAGGAAAATGTAATCCGGGTTTCAAGAAAAACGCCCGCGTGAGGGCGGTTCTGGTCCTCGGAAGACGGTACAGGGTTGGTACGGTTGCAAATCGGAGCGGAGTGCGAATGTACGGTATACAGTAGATCTCGGGTGGATCAGGCAGGCTTTCAATCTTCTATTCCCTCTATATATGCAGGCTGAAGAGGTCGAGTTCTCTCCGATCGTCCTCCTATCTTTCATCCCTGAAGGAGTCTTGTCTGAGCTTTCTCTAGGGCTTCGCCAGCACAGCTCTCCTGGGCTCTGGACATGCTGGAGTTTAAGCATTGTGTAACTCGGGCATTACCTCTTTGACTTGTATCTGTATCAGCTTAGAAATCCCCATGGTCCTCAGTGACCACACTCTGGACACAGGCAGACCTGGCTGTCCAGAGAGGACAGGCTCGGAGACCTCAGCCTGGACAAACTGCAGTGAGCTCCTGTGGAGGTCACCTTCACTTGAAACGCCCACAGCTGGGTGCAGCGATGCTGCCCTGTGTGTGCGTGTTGCTGGAGTGTCTTTCCCGTTGGCTCGCTGCCTGGTCCTGTATGGAGGGATCTCAGGGGCTCTATCCCCTTAGAGAGGTGGGGCACATTGTTCTCCTGCCTCCTGGGGGCCCGGGTGGGACCTAGACCTGTGGCTTCCAACTCGACCTGATCATATTCCAGCTTCAGCTGCTCTACTGAGTGGATATTCCACAGAGGACTTCCTTCTGGAGTGGGACTCCAGCTCTTGTTCCACAGCAGGCAGGTCCTCTCCAGGTTTTTTTGCCGTTTTCCCACCCCGGCTTGGTCCTGTTTCTGTGCAAGAGCATCTCGGTGCTGTGCATTTGGAGTCTGATCCTCCTTATGGAGATGTTTTCAGTCTTGCTGGTGTGTATGTGTGAGGGGGGGCTGTCAGCCCCCAGGATGTTCAGCCTCCCTCTTCAGTGTAGGTCACCTTCACATGCCTGGCTTCCTCTTCCTCTCCTTCATGCAGTGTAACAAAGGTCAACCCGATCCAGAAAACAGTCTGTTTGTGCTGAGCAGAGCAAAGTCCAGTCCCTGTCTGCTCCTGCGCCTGGCTCCGTTTTCGGTGTCTGCGTGTTCTGAGAAGCCCACTTGGGTTAATATTGGACCAGCTGTGATGAAATGCCGAGCTGTGGTGGGTGGGCAGTTGTGTTGCTGCCCATCAGCTGGTGAGGCATTCAGGATGTGCGGAGACATTTGGCTCCATTCCCAGCTGGAGTGAGGGCTGCTTGTCCTTATTCACTCATGGCAGTGTCTACAGTCCAGTCAGGTGTGACAGTGTGTGTGTGTGCTGGTGAATTCAGGGGGAGTGTGAGAGGAGAGGGACAGCAGTGGCTCTAGCAGTGTCTACAGTACAGTCAGGTGTGACAGTGTGTGTGTGTGCTGGTGAATTCAGGGGGAGTGTGAGAGGAGAGGGACAGCTGTGCCTCTAGCAGTGTCTACAGTCCAGTCAGGTGTGACAGTGTGTGTGTGCTGGTGAATTCAGGGGGAGTGTGAGAGGAGAGGGATGGCAGTGCCTTTGTGTGCCAGTTGTCAGAGTGAGGGATGGTGTTTATATATCTCTGCATGCCTCTTGCCCTGCTGTAATACAGTACTGACACTTCCTGACACATTGACCTCTATTAAAGGTCAGCCTGCAGTTGAGTAAAGGTTAGGTACAGTATTGAGATGAGACTCTAACTAGGAAGACTTATTCTGGTCTTTACAGGTCCTAAACTGAATGTCACTGAAAGGTCTTGAGTGGTTGATATTCTTAAATGGACATTATTTTTAAAGGTGCTTTAAAATGTTCACATCCCTGAAATGGAGTCAACATGGAGGACAGCTTCAAGACCAGTAGTAAACCATGGAGACTGACGGCATGTTTTATGAGGAGTTGTGGGATTCTGGGACGAACAGCCAAGCAGTGCTGAGGCAGGATTCCTCCATTTCCAGTCTGACTAAAGGGATTCGGTTCCTTTTCGTCACATTTGCATCACATTTTTGGGGGTAGGAATTAACCTGGGTCGGGGTGGGGGGCTCTTTACACGGAATCCGGAACAGTTACTTCCTGTGGTAATCTGCACTGGGTCTCCTGCATCATACGTGGTTTTAAATGCTCCACTAATTGAGACAAGTGTATTGTCCTCAGTTTGTGCACTTATTAGCGCTGCCTTTTGCAGGTGCTAATGGTTAGGGTTACAGTTCATGTCAAGGATGGGGTTACTGTCGGCACTGGCTAGTATTTGTGGAGGTGCCAGGAGCTCCCGGTATCCCTGTTCTCTCGGTGTGTGTTGAGGACCGTGCTCAAGAGGATGGATTGTGCAGCGAGTACTGTTGATAAAGCCTCAATCCAGTCTTGCTCTCTAGTGTTGGTGAGGGGGATGGGGTGGGGTAGTTCTATTTTTGTCTGCAGGGCTCACAAAACGCAAAGCACTTAATCTCGCCAAGATACGGCTACAGCTGTTATCTCAGCTGTCTGACAGGGGAGAGGGAAAGGCAACTGTCCCACACGGTTGGTGGTCAGGGCTGTTCGTAATTCAGCGACGTGGCTCTGGCCCCCGTTCCTGCTCTCTGATTGGCTCTATGGTGGCAGTACGGTCATCCTATTGGCTACTGCAGTGCCCGGTTTTTTTTTTTTTTGACCCCTGCTCTGTATGACTTGTGTATGGGACAATGTTCACAAGGGGCAGCAATACTGGTGCGGATGGACCTGGTTTCAAAGCAAAGATGGCTTTTGGACTGTGGTTAAATCGGACCCTTCACTGTCCTGTGTCCCTGTGCCGTGGTGCAGGAATTGTTGCATAGTGGCAGAATTTGGGGGGGGGGGGAACCCCCAAACTGAGGAATCCTGCTATCTGGCTGTTGCTCAGCGCCTGCAGCTGTGAGGATTGCGGTGTCCCGAGCTGTGCCGTCTGAACTCTCCCTCTTTCACTCTTGCAGTCAGGATGTCCATCACAAAGATTCACGCCCGGGAGATCCTGGACTCCAGGGGGAACCCCACTGTGGAGGTTGACCTTTATACTGCAAAGGGTGAGTGGACACACGGTCACTCTCACTCCTACAGGCTGCTCCAGGGGGTCTCCAGCCCTGGTCCTGCAGAGCCTCCGTCTGCCTAGTCTTATAGGTCCCCCAAATCACCCATTTCTCAGCACCTATGCTGCCTGTAAGATACTGATCCATTTCAGTGCTGAGATGCATCAACATCCCTAAATTGCCACCTGTATTGACTATAATCCAGTTGTCCCCAAATTCTTAATGTCAATGGCTTGATTGAGATCTCGGTCACATTGAGTGCTGTAAAACCCCTTTCCCACTGTAGCCTCTAAAACCTGCTGAGTTGGGCTTTGTCAGCACAACTGGGACAGGTAATGTTATTCCCATTTCACAAGTTTCTTCTCTTTTTCTCCTTCCCCAGGTATGTTCCGGGCTGCAGTGCCCAGCGGCGCCTCCACAGGGATCTACGAGGCTCTGGAGCTGCGGGATGGTGACAAGAGCCGCTACCTGGGCAAAGGTGAGCATGCTGTTCAGATTGCCCCTCGTCTTCCTCTTCCGCGGGGCTGGTGCATTCACACCGAGGCCCTGCTTTTCTGAAATGTATAGGAGCAGTCTATAATCTCTGCGAACCATACTCACTCAGAATGTATATTGCCGCCATCAGTGATGGATTTGAATGTCAGGTGACCGAAGATGCGATTTATTGCTTTCCGGTAATCTACTTGTACAGACTGTATCTGTAGAGCAGAGGTCATGATCTTGGTGACCTTGGATCAGCTTATTTGCTAAAGCAACTTTGTAGCACTGCCAGACATCTATGTAAATTACTATAGAAGTAAACAATACAACAGCTGGCCTCTAGGCATGGAGGAGAGGAAGAACTCCCAGCAGCATGGAAACCTCTGGGGAGTCCAGGCCCAGCAGTGGGGCCCCCACTCCAGAAAATGGGCTTTTGGGCCACTAGGATGAATCATGAGCAGTCTCTTCAGTCCATGGCTGATGGTCTGTCAGTTGAGTGAGGTAGCTGCCCGTTTTCTAAACCAGCATTTATAAATTGGCTTCATGGAGTTTGATAGATGGGTATTTCTGGTGAAGAAGTGCAGCTTATTCATTAACCAATGAGATGGGTAGTTGGGTGGCTTTTTTTAACCAATAGGCAACCAGTTTGGTGATAATTAGGCTCTATTTTGACCTGGAAAAAAGCCATGAGGTCTTAGGATGTCGGCACCTGGGCTGTTCTCCACTGGAACAGGGCGCTGGGGTTTAAGAGCTTGCCTGTAGCCTGGGTTTTCTTTACGAGCTGTGCTCCTGTACTCGGGCAGGTGTGACGCAGGCTGTGGACCACATCAACAAGACCATCGTCCCAGCCCTCCTGGGGAAGGTGAGACTCCAATCGCCCCTTCTGAAAGGCAGCTTGTGAAGGTGGTCATTGTTGGAGAGGAACATGATCTGTAAAGACACTCAGTCCAGCTCGCCTGTAGCTTCACATTCACACTCCTCCCGTCTGTAGAGACTGTAAAGACAGTTGAGCTGTTTTGTGTGGTGTCCTTGAATAACCTCTCCTTCTGTTGGTGCAGAAGCTGAGTGTGGTCGAGCAGGAGAAGATTGATAAAGTCATGCTGGAGCTTGATGGCACTGAGAATAAGTGTGAGTCCTGATCTCTCCAAGTGCTTGCATGTCTCTTGGACTGGGAGACTGTATTAACTCCTCTCAATCTCTGCCTTCCTCTCCAGCCAAATTTGGTGCCAATGCCATCTTGGGGGTCTCCCTGGCTGTCTGCAAGGCTGGTGCAGCTGAGAAAGGTGTCCCCCTGTACCGCCACATTGCTGATCTGGCTGGAAATGCAGACATCATCCTCCCAGTTCCTGTAAGTGAGGAGCAGTGATGATGGGAACCAAGAAATGTTGGGACAGTGTTCTTAAGCTCTGTGTTAATGGACTGTAGTGTCCAGTGTGTCTGTATTAACCCCCCTCTCTCTCAGTGCAGTGTTAATGGACTGTAGTGTCCAGTGTGTCTGTATTAACCCCTCTCTCTCTCAGTGCAGTGTTAATGGACTGTAGTGTCCAGTGTGTCTGTATTAATCTCTCCCTCTCCCGCAGGCCTTCAATGTGATCAACGGGGGCTCTCACGCTGGTAACAAGCTGGCGATGCAGGAGTTCATGATCCTGCCAGTGGGGGCGGCATCATTCCGGGAGGCCATGCGGATCGGGGCGGAGGTCTACCACAACCTGAAGAACGTCATCAAGGCCAAATACGGCAAGGACGCCACCAACGTGGGGGACGAAGGTGGCTTTGCCCCCAACATCTTGGAGAACAACGAAGGTAACATCCGGCGCCTTAGTATCCGCTCCCCCACCCCGTGTTTTCCATAAGGCAGGTGTGAGTGAACCTCGGGAATTGTGCCGGCTGCCATGGAGGTCGCAGACCCCTGCCACCCTTTGTGTAAAGGGCTTCCCCTTAGAGTCCACTTGCTGGCTTGTGATTCTCTGCTGATCTAGGAGTCCCGTTGGTTTCCTTGTCCAGAACCTTTCAGTATCTAGAATTTATACTAGACTAAAGAATTCCTTTTAATGTTGCAAGATTGACCTGTGACTGATCTCTAGTGCATTTAATGAAGAGAACACTTGCCAACCAGGAAGAATGGGTGAGAAAAACATAGGCAGGAGGAATCACTGACATGGGTGCAGTTTAACAATTTGTCACATGAAGTAAATTGGCTCATCTTTTTGGTGGTTGAGGGAACCAGTACTGATTTCTGCCGCTGTATCCTGTACAATGTGTTCTTGCACTGTATAAAAGCTTGCTTTGAGCATCTTTGCCCATGTTCTGCATTTGTACCCATTTTAACTTGTTTAGCTCTTCAGACTGTGAAGGCTTAGGAATATCTTAGCTGCTGCAGTGCTTTTCAGGGTTTCAGTCTGTACTTTTGATGGCTCTGTGATCTGATGTGGCTTGTGTTTTACAATTAAGCACTAAGCTACAAATTACCTTTCTGTGATGCTTACTGGCCTCTGGATGAAGCAGAGTGATCTGCAAGTGTGAGTGCTGTGCTCCACACTGATGCAAGAAATAGACACCAGCTGGAGGGAGAATAGTCACCCGTCTGGCCTGGGTGACCTTCTGCTGCAGACAGTGCTCAAGCCTTCTGAAAGGTTAAGGCTATAGATACTGTACTCTGACATCTGACACTGCGCCTCCTGGGCTGCACACCAGCTGTCTCTCTCCTCACACGGCACACTGGGCATTAACCCCCCCCCCTCAGTGCAGTGTTAATGGACTGTAGTGTCCAGTGTCTGTATTAACCCCTCTCTCTCTCAGTGCAATGTTACCAGTGTGTCTGTATTAACCTCCCCTCCATCCCTTCTCAGCTCTGGAGCTTTTGAAGTCCGCAATCGAGAAGGCTGGCTATCCTGATAAGATCGTGATCGGAATGGATGTGGCTGCATCAGAGTTCTACCGCAATGGAAAGTACGACCTGGACTTCAAATCCCCCGACGATCCGGCTCGCCACATCACCGGGGAGAAGCTGGGAGAGCTGTACAAGAGCTTCATCAAGGATTACCCTGGTAAATAACAGCATCGCCACGGACGTTTATCTTCCCTAAAGGGACAGTCCCTAGAGCTCAGCCCCATCCTTCCTTGTCCAATTACCAGTGGTGTCCATTGAGGACCCATTCGACCAGGATGACTGGGGGAACTGGACCAAGTTCACAGGCTCGGTGGGGATCCAGATCGTCGGAGATGACCTGACTGTGACCAACCCCAAGCGCATCCAGCAGGCAGTGGAGAAGAAGGCCTGCAACTGCCTTCTGCTGAAGGTCAACCAGATCGGCTCAGTCACCGAGTCCATCCAGGCGTGAGTCAATCGATCAATACTGCTTTCTGCTGGAGGCTAGCAGGATCAGTGCAATTGCTGTGCCCGTTGATAATTGACTGTAAGCTGTGCAAAGCTCAGATAAGGGAGTTCTCTGTCGGTGCTGCTGTAGGCCAGAGGTAGCTCCGATGACCAAGAGGGAGTCCAGACCCACTGGTCCAGTAGCTGGTTTGACCAGCAGTGGTGCTGCCTTCCTCCTCCCCCAGTGTTAATGCCCCCGTCTCGGCTCTCTCAGGTGCAAGCTGGCCCAGTCCAATGGCTGGGGGGTGATGGTCAGTCATCGCTCTGGAGAAACAGAGGACACCTTCATCGCTGACCTCGTCGTGGGTCTGTGCACTGGACAGGTGCGTCTCTCTTCCTGCCTCCATCCCTTCCTTCTTTCCTCCTGCGTCTCCCTCTCCACTCATGTCTTTCTCTCCACAGATCAAGACTGGCGCCCCCTGCAGGTCAGAGCGACTGGCCAAATACAACCAGCTGATGAGGTGAGAGTCTGTGCTGCAATTTGTCAAGTTTAGTGGTGGCTTTTTCCCTATTGTTATTCTCTGCCTTTTGTCAATCTCTCCCCAGGATTGAGGAGGAGCTCGGAGACAAGGCCAAATTCGCTGGCAAGAATTTCCGGCACCCCACAGCCAAGTAAATCTGCCCCTCTGCAGGCTTGCCACCATGCCCCCTACAGGTGGGCACCACAACCCAGGATGCTGCAATTGTCTTCCCTTTCTCGGAGTGAGAGGGGGAGGGGAGGCTGTATTGGGAAGTGCTCTGTTGGTCCATGTGCTCTCTGTATAAACAGCACCCCCTGTCTTTGTGCAGTGTTCTTACACTCCCTCACCTGTCCACCACAATAAAGATGAGTTGAAATGCTGTCGAGTGTCTTTCCCTTCTGCTCTGTTTTAAGTGGCCTGTGGAGTGACACTGGATAAGTGCTGTTTCAGTGTTCAGTCAACCTGTGTTCTACTGGTACATAAAGGAATACAAGCTGGAGCTGAATCTCTCTTCCTCCAGCATAGCTCCTGAGAAGCAGGTGGCAGTCCCTCTCCCCCTTAGGAGGGAGCCGATTTAGCCCAAGGATTCCATGATGGAAGAAACCAGACTTTCCCCAAAATAAAGAAAAGACCGCTCTTTCTCTCTGACCAGGGACAGATTACATTGCTGAAATCTGCTCTGCAAGACTGACCACAGCAACATCCTCTTGCCTGGCAGGAGCTCAGAGGAAGAGGAGGGTGAAGGTGTTAGTGCTGATGTGACTGGCCCGTGTCTTCTCTGGAGTTGGTCACTCTGCCCTTGCTGAGCTGGGGGGAGGGTGGTAGTGGCCGATGGGCCAGGGCGGTGAGCTTTGCTGCACTTTGTACCGAAGGTCGCATGACCTTTGCTACTATGTGACCTCTCCAGAACCTCAGAGGTCATGTGACCTTTGCTACAGTGTGTTCCAGAGACTGTGACCTCTCCAGAATCTTGGTCATGTGATCTTTCCTGTGGAGCATTCCAGAGGTCTCCTTTAGGAGAGGCCCACACAGTTTTGGAGACCTTTATGAAGTGTGGTATGAAAACCCACACTTAAATTTGTTGGACACCTGCTTTTGAGGGTGCTTACAGTAATTGAGGGCTTACGCTGGGTAACGGATATTCAGTTAAAGATGCAGTCTCCAAGTTTAGATTCATGCACATTTTGCATATATTTATAAAAATCCAGTTCTGAGGGTGCAGACAGAAATTGAGGCTTAAATGTTTGTATAACTTATTACATTAATCATCTCAGTCTCTTCTTTCGTAGTCAGTTGGTTTTAGGAATGTACCATGCAGTGTTTTGCAGATCTTTATGAAAATGTATGGTAAAATTCCTCCATTTGAATATATATTTGGATATATTGAATACCCCGTTTTGAGGCTATAGGCAGTAATTGAGATTTCAGCTGAGTATTGCAGAAATTAAATTTCTGTCTCTGCATTCACTCTTAGTAGGTTCTAGGAGCCTAGCATACAGCATTTTGCAGGTATTTTGGAAAATGCATGTCATTATAGTCCCTATATTGTAATGTATTGTTTGCCTACCTCTGATTGTGCAGTCAGCAACTGATGCTGACACGCACTGTCCTGGAGCAAGTTCTGACAATGCATGGTAATAAAATCACTATATTTTCATATATTGCATGCTCGGTTTTGAGGTCACAGTCAGTCATTGAGGCTTTAGGCCTTTAGATCTTTTATGGGTTTTATGAGCTTAGCCTGCACTGTTTTGGAGATATTTATGCAAAACTGTGGTATTAAGTCCCCTACATGTCTCTCACTGACAGCGCAAGGTCACTGAGCTCTACAGCCAGTACAGCAGAGTGACAGGAGGAGTGGCTCATCTGTCACTGAATACCAATACCCACTTCTGAGGGTGTGGGCAGCAGCTGAGGTGGTATCCTCAGTAAATGTGGAAATAAAGGAACGATCTCAGTCTAAATTCAGTTTGTCTTCGGCATCTAGCAGCCACTGTATCAGAGATGTTTAGGTAAACGTGTGATATCTTATTTGTCAAATGCACAACAATACTGCACGCTTGCAGCAGTAATCGCTGGCAATGAAATGTCTTTCCTACGAGCTCACCAGAGGAAGATAAAAATCACAACCTTAAAGTTACAAAATAAGGTTACATAGTTATAGTGCAATAGAAATTAAATAAGATAAACTCAGACAAAATTCAATATAAACAGACCTGCTATGTGTCCAGGGTGCATGCAATACATCATGTCCAACTGGTGCAGTGTGCCGAATACAATGAAGACTGTATGTCCATGTGGCCATTATGGTGATTTGCTGTAGATCTGTGGCTTATTTTAGGACATTATTTCTTAATATATTGGATTCCAGCTTTTGAGAGTATGGGCAGCAACTGAGGCTTAAACACCAGGGTATAACTGGTGTTAAATGAAAGATCTTCACTACTCTCAAATAGCCTGCAGTGATCTGGGGATAGTTATGAAAATGTGTAGTAATGTAGTCCCTACTTCATCACCACATCATCATCATCAAAAAATCGTATTCTTTAATATGAATCAAACATTAATATTTAAGTTGTTTAATTAAGGTGTGTCATTTATTAACTAATAAAATATTTGTTTATTAGCACATTTCCAAAGCCACGGGCTCTGCACACAAAACAAAATGCAATCAAATGTATGAGAAAAAATGAAACAAGGACATGCAGGATAAACTGTAGGACAGTCACACATAGACCCTAGTAAAAAGGTGCATTTTTAGTTTATATTTGAAGACAGTCAAAGAATTTGTCTCAGCTGTCCGAAGGAAACTTTGCCCCAGCCGACTCGGCAATACCGCGTGTGGCCACACGATGGCACTGTCTCCGTCAGGAAAGGCGCTGGGCTGCACAGTCCTGAATCACCTCCTCGCCTGAAATTCTCTGTGACGGGGCTGCGGGACAGAAGCGAGGGCTCAGCAGGAGCGTCCTGCCTAGCACCCAGCAGAGTGAACCTGAGGTACCTGGGGTGGTGCTGTCTGGGAGTTTCTGGGCTCTTTGGGGTTATCTGGGGTGGTATCTGGGAGTCTTTGGGGTTATCTGGGGTTGGTGTCTGGGAGTCTTTGGGGTTATCTGGGGGTGTCTGGGAGTTTCAGGGAGTCTTTTGAGTTATCTGGGGGTGGTGGAAGGGAGTTTCTGGGGTCATTGAAGTTATCTGAGGATGTCTGGGAGTTTCTTAAGACAGTGGGATATTTGGGGGTCTGGCAGTGTTGGAGGGTGTCTGGGTGTTTCTGTGGGTGTATCGGGGTGTCACAGGCTGTCTGAGGATGTCTGGGAGGGTCTGGCAGTGTCGGAGGGTGTCTGGATGTTTCTGTGGGAGTCTGGGGATTTCAGGAGGTGTGCAGGCCCGTCAGAGATGTCTGTGCGTGAGGAGAGCTGCGCAGCTCCTGGGACGACCAAGAGCAGCTCAGTCCGGTTCCCGCGGCAGTGAGCTGGGCGGCACCGAGAGCTGGTGTGGACGACCAGAACACACTGACTCTCCCGAGGTCAGACTGACTCAGGTCATTCCACACCAGTGTCAAGATGACTCCTCCTCACGGTTCAAACGCGGGTTTTTAGGGACACATGCAGCTCTTATAGAAAATTACCTGCCCAAAAAATCCCCAAAAGTATTTAGGCAAAAAGCTGTTGAGTATTTTCTCAATGTAACGGTATGCGGTTTCTCAATGTAAAGAGACTATGCGCAATGTTATGGCACACAAAGTCACAACCAAGTTAAACTTAGTGAACGACTAGAAGAGATGTATTAATAAATCATGAAAAATCGCACTTCTCGTTTTGTCTATTCGAGTTGCAAGGAAAGGCTAAACTGCAGAGGCCGCCTGCTGGGCGCCGGGAGGTGCAGTAGCGCGTTTTTCGGAGAGACTCGACTAAGAAGCGGAACTAGTTTGGCCGCTGTGAGCCGCCGTAGTTCTTCACCCGTTTTCCAAGATGGGCGAAAAGAAGACTTCAGGTACGTATGCTCGTGTGAGAACTGAACAAAATACGTAACCTGGGATGTGGTTTTAGTGATCCGAAACGACAAGGAAATTTATTTCTGTTGCGTGGAGATGGGAGCAGTAAGATAACAACGCGTGATGCAGGAGAAGTGCAGTAACAGCTGTCGCCGAAGCAGTGTTTACATCTTTACAGCTGCGCATTCGACTGTCAGCCCCAGAATAAAACGTGTTTATTGCTCTTCTCGTTTCCGTATTTTAAACACACGAGCGTCACTCTTCCTTTACAGGGTTGTCATATGGTGTGTAATAACACTGCACTCAACCCGCTTGCTGTTATCAGAATCAGGCGGCCGCAGAGCCACAAACACAGTCAGTTACACGCTGAACAATACGAGGTGTGTGAAACTAGCCTTTTCTTGTTCCTAAGGATACCGGAAGGAGAAAAGGCTACGTGTTGGGTCAGTGAAGTGACGTTTGTTGGTCTGCTAGTGGAGTTTGTATGTCAGGTCGAGTGTTTGATATGAGGCGGGAGACTCTCAGCTTTTGTTCCTGGGTGCTGTTTTGCAGACGTGTTCAGCCGTGCTGTGTGTTCAAACTGCCCCTATGCCTAGGCTTGCCGCTGTGACATCAGATGGCTTCAGAGAGGCAGTGGCAGTCGGGAGGGGGGTCTCACCAGTGTGGGGGGAGGCCTGACTGCGACCTTTGTGCGCGCGTGGGGTGCGTGCATGACCCCACTGTGGTGCGATCGCTAACTAACGCCCCCATCCCCGCTCCCCCCTCCCAGCTCGCGCCCAGGAGGCGAACCAGCGGCGGATCCTGGACCGGGCCACACGCCAGCGCCGCCTCAACCGCCAGCTGGAGGCGCTGGAGAAGGACAACTTCCAGGACGACCCGCACGCCAGCCTGCCCCAGCTGGCCAAGCGTCTGCCGCAGTTCGACGACAGCGCGGAGCCTGGTGAGTGCCGCCGTCGCCGGTCGCGATGTGCGGGGAGATTCCGTAGTGTGACGAGGCCTCTCTTTTGTGTGTTGGCCCGTAAATCTACATGGCTGTCGCATTAGCCAGGTCTGCTGTTGCCTTCGGCGATGCTCAGTCAGCACAGGTTCCAGCAGTCGTGCTGCTTCTGAGGTCTCTTTCATCAGGCTCCTTTCCCCCAGCCCACAGGGAAAAAAGACATGGTCTTCTATTACTGTGCAGTAGTCAGAAATGCTGGGAATCACACTGGCTGGCCATTCCCAGTGTTTTTGGACAGGATGTGCGTTTGGAAGTGCTCTGTGCGTGTATGCCTTGAGTGCCACGTTCCTTTACTGTTAAGTGCAGCGTCTTTGATATTTGCAGCCCCCAGCTTGAGTCCTGTCTCAGGATCTGTATTGTGTCCCTGGAGGATGATTTCTTAGGGTGACCAGGGGGGTCTGTGAAAGGGGCCGTCTTGCACAGAGACGGCCCCCGTCTCTGGGCTCCGCCGCTGTGGTTCTTGCCGGAGAGGGGACCCCTTCCTCCTCCAGATCCTGTAATCACCTCCCGGGCTCCGGCGCTGGTGACCTCTGTCTCCCCCCACCGCAGGCAAGAAGAGGAAGAAGACCAGAGGCGACCACTTCAAGCTGCGCTTCCGCAAGAACTTCCAGGCACTGCTGGAGGAGCAGGTGAGGAGCACCGGCTGCCGGGGGGGCACAGAGTCCTGTTGCACAGCAGGTTATAAGAGAAGATCACTTTATTAGCCCTATACAATTTCTTGAATTAGGAATTGGTCTTTTCGCATATCCCAGCTTGCTCTCCACGAGACACACAGACAGGGAGAGAAGCTTGGGGTCAGAGAGCAGGGTCAGCCATTTATACAGTGCCCCTGGAGCAGTTGGGGTTAAGGGCCTTGCTCAGGGGCCCAACAGAGTAGGATTCCTCTGCTGTCCACAGGATACGAACCAGCAACCTTCCGGCCACAGGCCGGTACAGATCCTTAGCCACAGAGCTACCACTCCACCGGTTGAGCCACTTCGGGATTTAGCAGCAGCAGGGAGCTCTTGCACACATCCTAACGAGTGAAATTGGGAATCGGAGCTCTTTTCCCCTGGGATCTCCGCCGGCAGCTCCGGTCAAGATCGGCTTGATATCCGCACCTGACCTGAACCTGAGCAGCACCTGGGGCTACATCTGTGCAAGAGCCCCTGCTGGTGCTGAAACTCCCAGTGGAGCAGACTACTGTGCAGTAGGAGTCGGATTGACAAAACTAAAACATGGAGAGCAGCAGACTGCTGTTTAGTGGGAGTCTAACAACACTCTAAAACCTGGAGTGGCTCAGGATGCTATGCAGCAGGAGTCTGACTAAACTGTTGAGGGAGAATCACAACGAGAATCAGCCAAAGGCTTTAATATAATCCCTTTAATATTTTTTGTTTAAGGCTGCTTTTCACGTAGTTGTTTTGTATGTTTGATTAACTGTATTTTTTCTCTTAGAAGAAATCTGTGAAATATAATGATATAGAAGAAATGTTGCGCAGTTGAAGATAGACCCTGGAAACTGTGATTAACTGTGATCTGAGAGCGAGGGATGAAGCCTCAGGCCGGCTCTACTAATTGTCCCCTGCCCACTCTTGCAGAACCTGAGTGTGAGCGAGGGTCCGAACTACCTGTCTGCCTGCGCCCCGCCGTCCAAGCTGCCCCAGAGGCACTTCTGCGCTGTCTGCGGGTTCCCCTCCAGCTACACCTGTGTGTCCTGCGGGGCGCGCTACTGCTGCGTCCGCTGCCTGGGCACGCACCAGGAGACCAGGTGAGCACAGCGCCCCCTGGCCCTCGCCGCTCGCCATTGCCAGCCAGTGGCACCGCAGTCACCAAGGGGTGAGCTCCAGGCAGCTTGAGCGTCACCGCCCCTGCCCCATGGCAAGGCTGGGGTGCCCATGTCTCCCAGCACGGTCAGTGAGAGCTGCGCTGCTCCTCCCTCTGATGGCTGAGCCCTGCTGCTGGGGCAGCAGTGCAGGATTCAGTGGAGGGGTGGAAGTGGGCTCCTGCGGAGACAGGGACAGTGACAGCTCTCGTCCCGCTGGTCCTGCTCAGTACCATTCTCTCAAGGCTCTGCGGCAAGCGACAGCCGGCTATCGAGTCTTTCAGTGAGCGCCGTTTGCCATAAATTCCCTAATATCAAAGCCAAGCAGCTGTGCTGCTAACCGACTTCGAAACAACAAGTCGCCTTTCCAAGACTCTTCCAAAAAAATCAGTCTGTGTCTCTGGGCTCGTCAGCTGGTCGACTTCTGCTCCCTCCTTCTCTGGTCCAGTGCAGAGCAGAGGCTCTGCCAGCTTCCCAGTGGAAGTTCATGACCAACCTGGACGCCTCAGCTTCCTGGTTTTAAATGTCACCTGACCAATCGGGTGCCGCCGCTTGGTCAGGTGACAGAGGATGGTAGGTCATTCCCCAAAGGCCTTCTGGGGATTGTGGTCTCAGACTAGATCCACCAGCTTGCCTGAGCCTACCGCCCACTTACTTTGGTGTTCCAGATGATATAGTGAAATATTTCTGCCTGTAGTTCATAGAAGGACGAGGATATTGAAAGAAGGCGTGTGGACATGTATTGGCAGCTATCTATTCAATCAGGTGAAGATTTTAATAGAGGAACAGCTGCCTCTCTTATTGATTCTTCATTATGTGCTCAGTGACTGCCCTTCTGCAGGGCGGTTTATGGTGAAGTCAGATTTTGGTGTCAGTGTGGATACAAAGGGAGCAGAAAGTTTAGATGCTGTGCTGCAGCAGGCTGCCTGCGTGTGTCCTGTGGTCAGCGTTTGGCTTCCTGTTGCAGGCGAGTTCAGTGAACACAGCCCCCTGCTCAGTTCCTCTCTCTGTGTTACAGGTGCCTGAAGTGGACGTTATGATGGCGCGAAGATGACTTGTCACCCCCTCTCCCTCCCCGCCCCTCTCATACTGTCCAGCTGGTTCCAAGAGTCTCCTAATGCTGTTAGGATC